ACACGAGGTCGTTTGCATAAGCCCGCTGGATAGCTTTTTCAAAGCAGAAGGGCGGGCTAAAAACCACCCTTCCTGGAACCTAGTGTGGGAAGTGTCCGACGGGCCATTTGGAATATTCCTCTGTTATTTTCACTTGAACAGAATGTTGACCTGTGAGCCCTAGACTCGAAGTATAAATTTGAACCACAATGTGTGGCTAGGTTAATGGGAGACATAATATTACAGTAAGGGCTTTGAACGAGATGTATCTTAAACTTATCAGTTTGCGAAAACATTTACCTCACCCTCTTTCGTTCTGTTTTGGAACGCAAGGAACAGGGAAAAGTTGTAGTAGAGCCTTGCAAAAAATTATCAATCATTAAATCTTTCAAGTGGTTCGACTTACATGGTTTTTAAAAGGTTGTAATCAAACTGAACATGGAAATTACATTCACATTGTTGTCTCCAATCTCGCAGATTTAAATTGCAGTACAGTCTCCCCTTAAAATCTTACAGTAAATTTTACTCGAGGCGTGGATAACTCCTGAATTGGGTGTACAAATTACAAGAAATGATTTTGAATTAACTTGAATTGGTTTGAATTGAATTTGAAGTGGCCTGAAAGGGGTAAATTATTTTGGAATTGATTTCGTACATCGCGATTTTACTTTACTGAATTAGCGTAAATTGACTTGAATTGTCTTGCATTCAACTGAATTAGTTTTATTATTTCAGAATTCGTTTCAATTAAATTGAATTAGACTGAATTAGTGTGAATTTGGAAGAATTAAGGATGTGCACTTGCACGTTTGAATTAAATTGAATTGGAGTAAATTAGTGTGAATTCGGCAGAATGAGGGATGTACACTTAGCAGGGGGGTTGTCCACCCCTCGATTTCACTCCAGTAGCCCCCCTATCACAGGTGGATAACGGTCCCTCCGGTGTAGCGCACGGACCGGGCCGGGACCGGACCTTGAGGGACCTTGAGTGACTGTAGATGGAGGCCGTGTATAGCGAGGTGTGACTACAGCCGCTGTGCTGTTATTTTCTGCCAGAGGTAGCGCTGTTAGTTTTTTTGCACCGAACGGAGGTACTTCTAGTTTCGGCAGTGGCAGCAAGCGGTTGAAGGTAGACCTCGACATACGCTAGGAGATGTGTTTAACTTCATTTGTAGTTGTAATGCGTTCATCATTGGAGTAGTTAGGCCCAACCCCACAACTCACGAAATGGGTTGAACGGAGGGCCCCGGCCCGCGTACTAAAATATACGCAAACGGGACATGAAGCAGTAGCGTTACCCACTAGATCATTAGTAGCGCAGCAGGGCAAAGGCAGTGACACGAAAAACTTTGAAAGTAGTAGAAGTGGTTTAGGGGAAGGAGGGGGGGTTGGCACGCATTCCGAGGTGCTCTCCAGACTCACCAAGGGCACAGACGGTAGACCAGTTCCCAAAAACACTTTTTTCGAAAATCGACGGGGACCGCTCGAATTTTTGTTGCAAAGAATTCAAAGTGTAAGACCCTTAAACCGTTTTGAGGTGGGACAACGCTAACCCGTGCCGCAAAGCAGTTCTTTTTCTTGTTTTCTCATTAAAACACGATATTACTAAAACAGCTGCGGGTTTTTTTAGACAGTCCCTTGTGGTCTGTCTCTACCCGAAGGTAAAAGTTTCCCGTTTTGATAAATATTGCCGGTTATCGTTATCCAGTTTTGATAAAGATTGCCGATTGACGTTCCAGTTCCAGTTTTGATAAGCCGATTGACGTTGATAAAGATTTCTCTTGCTATAATATGAGGCTGTGGGGGAAGGCTTTCCGTCCCGGCCGTCCGTGCCAAGCCCGGTGGCACTCCCCTGTCATCGCTCTGGTTGTGTTATAAACATAGCGCCCTTATCCCTTGCTTCGCGCCAGGCCATGGTGGGCCACCCGACCCCCACTTGAGTCTCGCAGTGCTGCTCGCGCCCCACGCCCCAACAACCCCTGCCCTCTTAGAGCTCATTCGGCACCGCGCGCCACATGGCCCGTCCACTTGAGAAGTGGTCTCCAGTCTGATCAAATTTTAAATTTGAACCAGAACGCTCTGAAATATGTATGAACGTGCTTGTTTTCGCGCACGCAGAAATTACGAATTCAGCAAAATTTGAATGGCGATTCTAGCATAATTTGCTGATTTTCGTTGTTTTTGATTTTAACCACAGCTTTCTGAAACATGATAAAGCGCTCCTAGGTAGGGTGAAAGTATCCCGTCTTGATAAAGGTTGCCGTTGCCGATATTGCCGATGAACGTTTCAGTTTTGATAAGCAGATTTTCAGTCTTATTTTGATGCCTTATTGAATTTAAAGATACGAGCCTTAGCGTCTGTATTTTGAATTTGCTTTTGGAGCTGGACTGTCTCGTTACCGGCCGGCAGGCCAGTTTTTTAACCCTTTAGCCGATTTTGATGCCCTTTGCATGGTAAGTTCGCTTTACACACTGGTTAATCCCTGCCAAGGCCCCCCTGCTTTAGCTCGAATACTTTCGGAGATGTAGCCATTCAAAGTTTAGGTCAATTTTAGACTTTCCCCACAAATCACTAAATTAGCAGTTGTAGGTAAAACATCGACCCCTTTGGCTCCTAAAAATCCGAACTATCAACATTTCGATGCGAAATATTCTCAGGACTCCAAATATGCCCCCGTCAGTGCTGTAGCTCAAAGCGTTCTATGTCAAATCGACGGTAAGAGTAGAGTAGGTGACGAAAACGGACCGGACCGGCCTCAAAATGGCCGAAAATCTATATTCTGTGTTAATTTTATCTTTAAAAAGTTTTAACTCCACCTGAAATCGACAACCAAAAATATTTTTAAATTGGATGGTTTTCATCACAATAATCGGACGAGACTTTATGCAAGCGGTATTATCAGTATGACGCCTCGTTTCGTCCGATTATTGTAATAAAAACCTTCCAATTTAAAAATGTTTTTGGTTTTCGATTTCAGGTGGAGTTAACTTTTTTAAGATAAAATTAACACGGAATATCGATTTTCGGCCATTTTGGGTCCGGTCCGTTCCGTTTTCGTCACCTACTCTACTCTTATCGTCGATTTGACATAGAACGCTTTGAGCTACAGCACTGACGGGGGCATATTTGGAGTTCTGAGAATATTTCGCATCGAAATGTTGCTAGTTCGGATTTTTAGGAGCCAAAGGGGTCGATGTTTTACCTTCAACTGCTAATTTAGTGATTTGTGGGAAAAGTCTAAAATTGACCTAAACTTTGAATGGCTATATCTCCGAAAGTATTCGAGCTAAAGCAGGGGGGCCTTGGCAGGGATTAACCAGTGTGTAAAGCGAACTTACCATGCAAAGGGCATCAAAATCGGCTAAAGGGTTAAAAAA